CGCAGCAGCAGCAGCAACAACAAGAGCAGCAAGAGCAACACTAGCATAATATAATATAATAAGAAATGCTAGAGTCAGTAGTTGAACGCTTACTAAGCCGCTATCTAGCACAGTATGTACGAGGCATCAGCCGGGATAAGCTTTCTGTAGCTGTATGGAGCGGGAATGTTGAACTGGAGGATTTGCAAGTGAAACCTGAGGTTTCAGACCTTTTAGGTTTACCTTTTCGTGTTATATGGGGGAGAATACAAAAAATAAAACTAACTATACCATGGTCTAGGCTAGGTTCAGCTCCTGTATCCCTAGAGGTTGCAGGAATTCATGTTTTGCTTCACCCGAAACCGATACCGCAGCAGAGCGATGAAGAGCTTATTATACAGCTTAGAGCGGCAAAATATAGACAAATAGAAGCATGTGAAATGCAGATGCATGATGCTAGACTCAGACTAGCAGAACAGCAGCAACATCATTCCACTGCTGCTGCTGCAAATAGCAGCAGCACCAGCAGCACCAGCAGTAGTACCAGCAGCAGCAGCAATACCACCACCACCGCCACCACCGCCACCAGCAGCAGCACCAACAAAGAAGGAGATGGAGGATTCTTCTTTCGTTTTGTTAATAAAATACTCAGCAATCTTCTCGTAGATATCCGCGATGTACATATAGCGCTCGTTGACCCCGCAAGGGGTTTCTCGGTCGGCTTGCTGCTGACGCAGGCCTCCATACACAACACAGATGCAGCATGGAGGCGGTATGAGCAGCAGCAGCAGCAGCAGCAGCAGCAGCAGCAGCAGCAAAAGAAACAGACCTTCTACAAGGCATGTGAACTCACAGGGCTGGCCGTCTACTGCGCCCTCGATGGAACCAACGGAAAACAGCAGCAGCAGCAGCAGCAGCAGCAGCATCGTATTCGTCCGCATCAACAGCAGCAGCAGCAGCAGCAACAGCAGCAGCAGCAGCAGCAGCAGTCGTTGCTGCAGCAGCAGCAGGCTTTGCCTACAAGCCTGCCGCTGCCACTCGTCCCGCCCCCCCCGCCATCCGAGCCGCCGCCCCCTCCCTCCACTCCGCCTCCGGGTGGCTTCGCAGCAGCAGCAGCAGCAGCAGCAGCAGCAGCGGAGGCGCAGCAGGGAGAAGATGCCTCCACGAAGGCTGGCGCAACTGCATGCGACAGAGGGCCACTGGAGGAGGGGCCCCCCTTGGGCGGGGGGCCCCTCCAGGGGCCCCTAGCAGCAGAACAGGGTACAG